CTGTACCGTTAGAAAACATCTGTGTGTTCGTCTGTACCGTTAGAAAAGTTCTAACGAATCACAGAACGGAAATTGAAAATTCCATAAAGTAATAAGAGTTTGAGCCTACAACAAAAATGTTTTGGAGCCAACTCAGTTCAAGAGTTCAAAATGGCTAAAACAGTTTTACAAATACAGTAGTCCCTCGTTTATCGCTGGGGATCCATACACTGAAGCCAGTTGTGTGTCATGTCCAATCTTATTGTGAAAAACCGCGATAGAGTGAGTCCTCGAAAAACAAACCGCAAAGCAGCGACAGACTACTATAAGCTGTTGGAGAATTTTTGGTATGAATATTTTTATTACTGGTATATTATGGCTGAGAACATCTTTCTGTAATTTGTACACAGAACATTCTCTCGTCTCGGCCTGAAGGCCAGCTCGCCGACTAGCAGTGCCTCACTGGTGTTGACGCCATGAGAACATGCCCAAAACATTCTCTTGTCTCTTTCAAGACAGATTTCTTACACAGATAAACAACTCATTGAACATGTCACTGAATGCACGTCAAATAAAGTTTTCTGCAGACTTTTACACAGCAGCAGAGTCCAGCGGGCGTTCCCTCATAGCCAGCCGCAGTCAGACGCACAGACATGATCCATGGCCGTCGGTGAGTCGGCCTCCAGATGGAGTCCTTGCAAGTAAAATGCCAGTTGAGGGCCGAGATGGGGGTAGAGGCAGGACAGCTGACCTAGGACCCCAAAGTCCCAGGCTTGATCCCTAGCCATTCCCTCATGTTGTGGTGTCTCTGAGCAAGATACCCAATTCCCAATTGCTCCCCAGGTGACTACATAGCTGCCCACTGCTCCACCCGGGTGTATCCTAGGTGTGATGGGTTAAATGCAGAGAACTAATTTCATTGTTGTATGGGAACATACAAAGATGACAACACATAGCACTTTCTTTCTAAAAATCTCCATCGAGTGTGTTAAGAGAATATTTTTCTCCAACAGAAGCTGAAACTGATCCAACTTGACCTCTGAGGGTGAACTGATCATGCTCATTGTAAACAAGTGCAGTTAAAGCTGCAGGAGAAATAATGCTGCTTTAAATACTTTTTTCATCAATGTCAGCTGTGTTTATACATTTTATGGGTATCAATAAAGTGTGACCAAAAACGATGGGAAAAAAATTGTATTTCAGTCAATGTTGGCAAGAAGTGCCCTTAAATGGTGTATTTTTGTTTAATTTAATGATTGAACAGTTTCTATGTCTTCATTTTTACCATTTGTCCTGAAGTTGAAACGCAAACATTGGGGTGACCAGACCTTCCAAACCATGGAACTACCTCGTGACCTGCCCCATCACCGACCTTGGCCTTTTTAAATGTAATCTTCAAACTTTTTATTCAGGCAGGCTTTTGATACCTCTGACATTTTTGTATTTTTATTATTTTTTGGCTTTGACTTTTATACTGTGACACACTTTGGCTGTTTTAAAGCGCTCTATAAATAAATGTGGATGGATTACACACAATGACTATACATTAGTGACATGTACAGATGAGCAAAAATCTGATATACAGCACAAGTAGCTGAAGGTGACAAATCCTCAAAGTGCTAATAGATCACATGAGATGAGACCGAGCATAATGTTATTTCCAAGGTTTGAGGAGAAACAACCATTACTCGGTTTAAATCTCAGCACGAGCAGCATGTATTCCTTTAAGGACTGCAGGGCCTTAGAAGTTATTACTGGGCTGCACGGCTCAAAGCCCAGGTTCCACTGATCCAAATTGACTTGGACAGTAAATGGTCTGCATCCAACATCTCTGCCATTTTTTTTAGGTTACACCTTTAATACGAGTTCAAATACAGAATGAGGGGATTATCCACTCATTCACTTTAAAGGTTTGGATACATGTGAAGAAACATTGTAAATACAATTAGGACAATAAAAAGAGCTTCTATTTCTGACTTCATGCCAGCTGAGATAGATATTTGTTTGGCCAAATGTGCAGATAAATAATAATCTGTTCAATATGGGACAAACTGTAAAGACATTTTTCCAACTTAAAGTACATTAGGGTATTGTTTCCACCGACTTCTTTAATTATATTCTGATTTATAATTATTTAGAAAAGCTCAAAGAAAGACATCCAACTGTAAGACAAACAATTTTAAACAACATAGGACAGATTAATGGTAAATGGACTGTCCTTATATAGCGCCTTTCTATCTTATTTCAAGATACTCAAAGCACTTTACACTACAATCTGTGCCTCATTTATCCATTCATACAGCACTCTACTAGATCTATACAAAGATAATTGAACAAATCATTCTAAAGAGACTAATCGGTGCTTTAGATCACATTCATCCACTGATGGGACACACATCAGAGGTTATGAAGGGTTCACTGTCTTGCCCAGGGACACTTCAACATGTGACTGCTGGTGGATTCGAACCCCCAACTCTTGCATTGGAGGACGACTGCTCTAACCACTCAGCCACAGCCGCCCATAAGCAAAACACAATAAAGAATATAATCTCTATGTAAACATTATCCTGGTGGACTTCACAGATGATTCTAAAACAGTAAATTTTGTAATTGATGTGTTTAAGTCGTCAAACATCAAGAAAATGTGGCTGCAAACAGAATGTGGTATTTATAAACATCACTGCTAAAACAGGACGCGTAGCTCCCTCTACTGGAGGAAAAGTGGCCGAACAGGAGACTTTTCCCATCAGTCTGCCCAGTGTTAAAGCCCTAACTGGGAGAAAATAAATAAAGATTATTAAAAAAAAAAAAAAAATATATATATATATATATATATATATATATATATATAAATAAACACTAACCTTAGATTTAAGAGGTTCACATAAACTGCAAAAAGGGATGTCATATAATAAATCCCCTTGAGGAATTAGGAAAATAAATTAATAAATGCTTAAAACGATGCGCTTATGGTTTCACAAAAATGATTATTACAAACTGATGCACAAACCCTGGAACAACTAAAAGATGTAAAAGACAGAAGTTTGCAACAAATGGACAGTTTTTATAAAAGCTGGGCTTCTGCAACACCAAATTAGAGAAAGTGAATTGAAGAGATGCCAACTTTGCCTTTAATGTACATATGAACATGTATGTATGAGTATTGATGTCGATGAAGAGCTTTAATGGACCTGATGTCAAGTGATACCTTCCATAAATGTTCAGTCAATAAATATATGAACAGGTTAACGAGATCCAGTCTGTAAAATGTAAAAAGTCTCACCAGATGTCCGTAGATTGCAGGACATAAAGAGCTGAAAAACAAAGCAATGAGTAAAATATTAGCATGTTAGCACCTTCATTAGATCATTGTAAATAAAAAACACTATGTGGCATTTTTAAAGCTAAAAAAAAACATAAATGCAAGGGGTGTCCTGATACTAGTTTTGTTTTCAGAGTACAAGTACTTCAGTTTGTGTACTTGCCAATACAGAGTAGTTAACAAGTTAGTACCTAAACATTGCACAGTGACTTTAGAAACATTTCTTCTATTAAGAACACCGCAGGCAGCCTGAAGTCTTAATATCACCTGTTTATCTTGACATATCTGTCAACTATACTTTTTAGTTGTTATTCTCGATTACTTCCAATGTAGAAGAGGAAATGATGTCACCAAGCATAAACATGGTATCAGTTTCAAGTATTGGGGTGTTTTTGAGTACCTGAGGCTGGTATCGGACCAGGTACAGATACAGTTATCCACCACAGTTACAACACTAATAAAAGCTACATTTTATTATAGATGATTAAAACTAGAAAGCACAGTTTACTCAAATGATAGGGTTGGACAGTTTACATAAACAGCAGTCCCTCGCTAATTTGTGGTTTGTTCTATCATGGTTTTTCCAAAATAATACTGGACATGATACACAATTGGCTGATTGATGGATGAGTCGCACAATAGCACTGCGTTTTTACTTAAAATTAATTATTTAAATTTTTTTAGCACCTGCTGCACCTTTGTGCAGCACACACTGCAGGATAAACTTCCTGTTGCAGCTGATCTCAGTGCAGAGTGGAGAAGTGGGCGTGGCCGAGAGCACTTGCAGGCAGCACAGAGGAGCCAAGGCAGAGAGCTGAAGTCATGATATACTGTGCTCTTTTAGAGCCTTTAGAGTTTAGAAACATTGTGTAGAATATTGCAAGAGTGTGGGAAAGGTCTAAAATGTCATATATATATATATATATATATATATATATATATATATATATATATACACACACACATACACACACACACACATATATATACAGACTAATATCAATTAATACTTACTACTTGTACTAGTATTCCTACTTCTCAGTTTTTCACTTATCGCAGGGCTTCAGGGTACGGATCCCCAGTGATAAATGAGGGACTCCTTTAGCTAAGGTTGAGGCCATCGAACCTTTCTTACGTCTCGAAGCACCCACACACAAAAAAGAAGTTGGCCTGTTGCTTATTTTCCAAGTTTTCCAGCTCAGAACGTTTTCATATACTGGTATATGGTGGCGGCCATCTTGGATTTTGATTTGTAACCAAATTTTCAAAATGAACCTTCTTTACATCTAGATGTAGCCACACACCAATAGCGGTCGGTACCTCACTTATTGTCCCATGGTATCATATTCGCAATTCTCACAAAAGGACAGTATAAATTTAGCTCACAACAGGGGACAATAAAAATCAGAGGAGCTAAAGATGTGGCTTCTGCAAATAATCCAAATCTTTTGAATGGCTCTTTACAACCAACGACAGGAAGTGAGTTGTAGAGAGTTGAGAACCGTTCCTAGTTTCATTTATTTCCCCCTCTTTATTTCTTTGTTGTCCTTCTTAAATGCAGACAAATGCTCCTCCCTCCTTCACTTTTCCACTGAGATGAAGGAGAACAGGCAAAGAGGAGGAGTGCAGCAGCTCAGGAGGGGAGGGCAGGAAAAGAAACGGGGTACAGCCCTGACGTATGTCACTACGGATCAAAACTGAACGGCTGCTGGAATTGAATGGATCATCAAGATCCGTTTCCCTTCAGAGTCGTAGCTCTATCTTTAAGTGTAGCCACATAAAATTACCACTTCGAGGTTGAAGATTTGCCTAATTTTGGCAATTTAAATTATGAACTTCTGGTGATTTAGTTCATTTTAGTATCACCGTAGCCTTACATTCAGTAAGAAGACTAACTGGGATAAAGCTTCATGCAAAACAACAAACTGTGTTTGTTAATGGGTCAATCTCTGGAGCCACAGCTCTGATTTTACATTGTGGATCATTGTTTTTACCTTTGACAACTTTGTTGGGTGACACTGCAGTGATTTAAAAATAGAATACACAACACAGGGTAGGTATTTGTAACGCAGGAGCTCATGAACTTACTGTACAATAAGTCGAAACAGGTCCGGCTGTGACTGGATCTCCTGAACGGCATAAAGCTCCTTCAAACTGAACTCCTCCCCTCCTGAACGATCTTCAAGTGACACACTTGACCCTTCACCTCCAGACTTGGAGAGCTGGCCTGAAAAAAATAAAATAAAATCAGGGACATGGATTCCTCCCAGAACTCCCAACAAAAATCTAACATAAATCAAAAAATGTTACCTTTAGTGTTGCTGACTGACGTAGCATCGATGTACAGGAGAAACATGCACTGATCTTTATTTCCTCTGGAGCTGCCTGAAAACAGATCAGTTGTGTTCAGAGCGCCTGAGCTGCAGGAACAATGAAGAGCCTGAGACAGGCATATAAGAAAACAGCTTAATGATAAAGAAATTTGGCAGAATACACATGAATTTTGTCACACTTTGTCACATAACTGCATATTTTCATCTAAACTTTGTGCAACTAAAGAGAAGCGGGAAGGGACATCAAAGGGAAATTTCCTGATCTTTTTTTAAATTGAAACAATATATTTGAACTATTTTTGTCTCTCTGATGGTGACCCAAAATATCTAAAGAAACAGATTCTTCTCTGCTGTCTGTATTAGCCATTGGAGCAATGCTGCGTTTACAAGCAGGCGTTCCCCTTTGACATCACTTCCTGTTACTGCTCGAGAAGATTTCAACAACTGTTCATTTCAGCAGCGTGATGTTTTGTTGGCAATGTTATTGTTGCCCTTCCAAAAATGTATTCATATAACAAAAATTTGATGTCACGGGAACTTTAAGAAGTAAAAGTCCAAGGTTTTTTCAAAGATGGCGCATCATCGGCAGCTCCTCATGCCGGATTTTAAACTAAAATATTTATGTTGAAAAACGAGCGTAGGTTTTTTTGGGGGTCAAAACTTGTAAATGTTACATTATACATGTTCTGATGTGCCAGTGTGAGATCTCACAAGATCCGTTTGAGCTCAGAATTTGTTTTGATTATGGCTCTCTGCTACAACACACAAGCAATGAGCTTGATCGATATATCGGTAGGGCCAATAATTTAGGCTGATATTGACGTATGGGGACCATATCAGTGATATTTGTCCCATTATGCGACAATATAAACAATTCTAATTTTCACCCCTAAAATGCTGGGACCCAATCGTAATTGTACAATGCATCCAGCAGAGGTTGCATGAAGACTACTTTCAAGTCATTGCCGTTCACTTAAGTTTCACTTTCACATTCAGCACAGCCGAAGCAGAGAACTATACTGTGTAGCATATTTTGCTGAACAAAGCATGGCAAGTTTATTTTAACTGATCTGTAAAACAAATCAACAATAAATTCTCTTCAGTCCTACAACCCGCTTGGCATTAGCTACATGCCTCTCAAGTTAGCAATCTATCATTTAGAGAACCTACCATAGGCTATTGCCTTGTAAAACTTTATCCAGAACAATGAAACCAACACTGATATATTTTACATCTAGATTAGAGTTAGTGTTAGTAATGTTATCTTTGCTGTCCAAAATGAAATGTATTCTTTGTTTGAAATCTTTACTTCTCTACAAAGAAAAATAAACTCTGCTGCGGCCAATGCTAATTAGGCCTTCACCATACTGAATGACTGTTTAAACCAGGGCTATTCAACTGGCGGCCCGCGGGTGACTTCAATCCAGCCCACTTAAAACAATTAAAAAAAAAAAAGTATCTATCTATCTATCTATCTATCTATCTATCTATCTATCTATCTATCTATCTATCTATCTATCTATCTATCTATCTGTCTATATATATATATATATATAAATAAATATAGATAGATATGTGATTCTGTTTATTGCATTTATGATTCAATGCAATAATATATATATATATTTTAAAGGTAACAGATCACTGTAATATTTGGTTTATTTACATAATCACTTTAAATGGCTGGATGTCCAGCCCCCGAGCTGCTGGCTTTCAGAAACTCTGCTCCCCTGAGCAGTTTTGTTGAACAGCTCTGGTTTAAACAATGAACAGGGAAGGTGGACATGACTGTTTTAACTAATTGTGACAGATAAAAATACATGTTATTGTTGATCATTGTAAAGAATATATCATTCCAGTAGACCTTCTTAAGACTCCTACCTGGTGTTTTCTGACCCAAACTTTAGAAACCCCTGCTCTAGAGAACTTTGTTTAGTTAATGCCTGTTTATTAGAATGCATGTGCTGTTTTTGTACCGTCGTTGATAACTCTAACTATCCCCGTCACAGTGACCGTGTCTCCGGGGACGCAGCTGTCACAGAGGTCAGAGGTCAGGTGACAGTCCACTGTACGCGGGATTCGTCCGGTCTCTCTTTGCTCTCCGCCCATCATCTCCTGAACCCTGAAGCAGAACCACAGATTTATATCAGATGAAGCTTCAAAAGGGACTTATTGCAGTAGTGTTCCCCCTAGTTTACTCCTCTTGGCAGGGCGCCCTTATCTTTCATGATTAATAAACTGAATAAAATTTTTGTTGGTCGAGGGTGGGGGTGACGAGAAGTGAGGGAGACAGTCAAAGCACTACCTTCATAGTCATAGCTTTTTAGCTAGCACATCTGTACTGTGTGCCGCTAGCTTAGTGCTACGTCAGTGCCTTCTAGGCAGGGCACTCTGTTCTGTTGACAGGGCGGGGCGCCCTGCTTGTATAATGGTTGGGGAAACACTGAGCAGTGTTTTGAAGAGTGGTAAAAAATAAGAAAGCGAGAAACAAAATCTGCACAAACTTTTTTCTTATATCGACGATGTGTCTTTAAATAAAATAAAAAAACAGTGAATAGTGTGCGTTTGTCTTCCATCAGAAACAGCCGAAGTGACTGAACAAGTCAACATGGTGACACCCATGGAAGATCCGTTTTGGGATCAAGTATTCTGACAATTTTACAGATTTACTCTTATTTTTAACAAAACATCTCCTCCAAGATTGTATGCTTGTCCAGTTCTGCCACATTTGTTTATCTACAGAGAGCACAGCCAGCCTGACGTAGGTCAGTCATGTGACTCGAGCTTCCACGTGGTTCTAGGGGGATTAAGCCAAATGCTTCAGCATCATGGAGGGTGGATATACATTTCAGTATTACAAATCAGTAAAGAAGAAAAGTGAATACTTTATACCCTATCAGATGATATAGTTCAAGATAACCTTTTTATAATTTCATAGCTTGCATCTGGGTGCACCGATTGCAGTTTTCTGGCCGATCTCCGATCACCTATTTCTAAAAAGTCTGACTTGCCGATTCCGATTTTGGCCGATACGATTTTGTTTTATAAGCGACACTGTCAGGAGTTATGAGGTCACAATGCACCTTCAATTTTCCAATATTATTTTATTGAAAAACATGCCCTTGAACAATTTCCTAGAAACAATACAAAATTGTTTTAACTGGCCCTAAGGTAGTGCTCTGAAATATAAATGAAGTTCAGACAATTGTTGTTAAAAATAAAAATAAATAAATTTTAAAAAATCTGTAAAATCGGTTTCTCATGCAAGTATTGGCTGATTTTAAATTTCCCGAAATTAGGGAAGTCGGCCAGCCGATTTATCGGTGGTTGCACCCCTATCGAGTACCTTTAAGATCATTTCTATTGTACTATTTCATAATTATAGTCTCAGTAAATCTTTAGATTAACATCAAAAATGTGGGTGGGGTAGGTGAAGCACCCACACTTGCCCCCACCCTCATTCGCCCCACTCTGGGCCCCTGAGCAAGGCCCTTAACCCCCATCTGCTCCTAAACAGGTCTCTCTTGAAAATGAGTTCTCGTGGCTCAATGAGACTACCTGGATAAATAAAGGCTAAATGAAAAAATAAATGAAAATCCAAACAAACATGTTTTTAAATATTACAGGTGGAACTCATCACACTTACTTAATGATCTGCCAGTCTACAGTTTGTGTGAGGGGAGAACTGCGGACGGGGATAAAGGAACGACTGCGACATCCAGGCTGAATGCACTTGGTGACAAAAAACATACAAAAAACAAACAAACAAGTGAATTGAGGTCATGCAGGAAGAACAACACTGATATACAAACTCAAAATGCAAATTCAGTTTCATATTTATTTATTTTAACTGCACAGAGAACATGTTTATTTGAACATGCAAGCCTGCTATTGGGTTATCATCATGCAGAACTCACACTCCCCGGAGGAATGCATATCACTCTCCACCTTTAATGTAAACTAAAATTATCTTATGAAAAATGGAGCTGGAGTAAGTTTTGGTCAAACCTTTGGGGGACGTTGAGTGCTATCGCACAAAAGCTTTTGTCAGATTGAGTTTGTCGTGAATGATTCTCATCTATAACACACCAAACTTTAGCTCAGTATCTGTACAGCTGACTGAGTTATAACCATTCGTGTGTTGGCTAGGGTCAGTTAGCTGTGGCAGCCATCTTGGATTTGATTGACTATAAAAGTTAGGTTGTAGATGTCCAGATAATGAAAACTCTCAGAGTTTCACTAAAATCCATCAAGTGGTTCTTCAAATATTTTATCAACGTTGCTTACGTTGGTGTGTTGTGTTTCCACACTTTAAAGGGTGTTGTATGTGCCCATACTTTGGTAGGTGTTGTGTATTTTCCATGCTGCAGGGGTAGAGACAGCAGTTGTGTGCAGGCTTGGCACTTGAAGGCCATCTTGGTACACAGAGGTCTGATGCTGCTCACTCTGACCACAGTTCCCTTCACAGAAACCAGACGTCCAAACACGCTGGCTCGCAACGTCCGCAGAGGAGTCATGGGTTCATAGTTATACAGCCTGAGGGAGAGTTGAACAAATAATTTTTGATCTTTAACAGTTCCTCAGGTGTTCAAACCACTGCTCCAAACCACAGGCGTTACCTCACACTAATATGAGGAATATTGATGATTGGTGTAGCAACAGGAAGCTCCTCCTCCTGCAGCTCAGCAGCTTGTTTTTCTAAATCAGCAGTCAACACCTAAACACACACACACAGAGAGACAGAGAGAGAGAGAGAGACAGAGAGAGAGAGAGAGAGAGAGAGAGAGAGAGAGAGAGAGAGAGAGAAAACAGGAAACTATAGTAGTTTGACTCACTAAAATTAAAAGTAATTTTTTTAATTATTTTAAGTGTATTACAATCCAGCAAAAGCTGTAAATCACAATCTGATGAAGCCAATAGGACCACATCATCTGCAAAAAGCAGAGAAGCAATCCTAAGGCCACCAAAACGGATCCCCTCAACACCTTGGCTGCGCCTAGAAATTCTGTCCATAAAAGTTATGAACAGAAACGGACATCTCCACCACAAATATAGCATGCAAACTGTTTGCCCTTTCATACGCGTCAGCAGCGGAGCAGGTACAGTCTAAGTAACGGAGGAGGATGAGGGGGCGACCTTGGCATTTTGTTACGGGCTGGTTCTGAGACATAAAATAAATATGAAGTTGAGTTTTTGAAAACTAAGACTTTCTCTGGACGCCCCCTAGTCTTGAAAAATTGGGAAAAATCCACATAATTATGGGAAAGCCGTAAGACTTAATATGTACGTCTTTTATAACAGAACTGACATTAGAGTGATGTTCATGTGTTCTCAGGAGGCGACTTTGAAGGGTCAATTAAAGGAAATAATGTTTTATGGCATTGTAAGTTACTGAAACAATTGCAAATGTTGATTTTAACAAAAAATATCTTTTCTGGTATGATAAGAACCACTGACTGAGCCATTTCAAAAATATAATGATTGAAGTAAACTACATACTACTACCGGTACTACCCCAATCTCGGGGCGGCTGAGGCTGAGTGGTTAGAGCAGTCGTCCTCCAATGGGAGAGTTGGGAATTCGATTCCACCAACAGCGACATGTTGAAGTGTCCCTGGGCAAGACACTGAACCCCTCATTGCCTCTGATGTTTGCCCCATCGGTGTATGAATGTGATAAAGCTCTGATTATACTCTGTACAGATCTAGTAGAGTGCTGTATGATGTAACGTTTACTGGCAGTAAGTTGCAGAAACAAACACGTACTTGTGTTACAATAATTGTGTTTACCTGATGAATGGCAACTCCCAAACAGCTCAGCATCACCTCTGGCTGCTCTTTTAGATCTGTGATGATGTCAGGAAGTGCTTTACACACAGTTTGGTCTCCAATTAAATCTGTGTAATCCACCAGAACACTGCCCTGACGCTCTATCTCATCCTGAAAACACACCAGAACTGCTTTTGAACGAAACGAAAAAAAAATATTACCTGAAAAAAAGTTTTTGTTAACATAAATCAAAGACACATAGGACATATATATAATGTTTTAAAGATACTATTAAAAATAAATCTACTCATGACTGACCTTATCATAAAGGTAAATCTTTGAAGTGAAATATTTCTCAAATATTTTGATCTTCTCCACACTGGGTGAGCTCTCGATGAAGCCTGCAAAAAATAAAACAAAAAGGTTAGAAAAACAGACACTTGTCCCCGATTCCTACATAAATACACAAACACGCACCATCTGTGAAGTAGAGCGCCCATCCTTTGTACGGACACAGTGCATCAAGAGTCGTCTGACGGGACGCTGTGGGGAAATCATTCCAATGGTTAAATAACTACAGTGTGTGAGTTAAGCTGTAAGAACTTGCATGATCGCTCGCTGCCAAAAAGGTGATGTTTTTGCGTGTTCTTAAGCCAAGATGGCCGCCATAGCCACCTGACAATTGGTACTAGCTAACACTCATGATACTAGCTAACACTCATTCACAACACATAATCCAAGTGCTTCTCACTGCACTAGATTTTTTTTTTTTTTTCATTCAACCTTTATTTAGACAGGTTAATCCCATTGAGCCTCGAGGACTCATTTACAAGAGAGACCTGATTTCAACAAAGAAAGATGACAACATGACAACAGCAACAACAATAAACAGTATAAAAAGTCATACAGATATATATATATATATATATATATATATACATATGTTTTTTTTTGTTGTTGTTTTTTTAACAAATAGGATGGCAAAAAAAAAAAAAAGTAACAAAAAACAGCTAGATTCTAAGGTGAATGTAGAAAACTTTGCTTGAAACTTTGGCATTAACTGCTGCAGTCAGCCCTGCTTGTCTATTAGCAAAATATCTCATGAACCACCAGACAAATTTTACTGAAATTTTCAGGAAGTAATTTCTGAATGCAAATCTACAACCAAGTAACTTTTGGAGTCAGTTCAATTTAACATGGCTGCCACAGTAATACAATCATTGCAGACACAAGAATGACAAACACAGGTAAATTTACACACACCAAGTTAAAACCTGGTGTGGTAGTAGGAGTTATCCCCAACATGTTCTGGTACTTGAATTGTGACGTCTTGCTATTTTGCATGATATTGTGTGCAACATTTTTAAGGTTTGCTCCAAACATTTCATTATAAGGTTATCTCAGCCTAAAACTCTGGCAAGAACAGCAGCAGGCGATATGCATTCATTCAACAAATGCTGTCTTTATTCATTTAATGTTATTTAATCTTAAAAGGTATGTTGGAAGCTATTTAAATAACACTTTTCTTAAAATGTATCACAGCTGTAAAAATAAACACAGCTCACTTCTCTGAGAGATAAAGGCTGGACTTCCTGATCCTCCTCCTTCTCCACCAACACCACCTCTAAAGCCTCCTCCTTGTCTTGGTGCTGCTGATCCTCCTCTCCAAGGTCTACTCCTCCAACCTCCTTGCCCTCTCCATCCACCACCTCCCCCAGCTCCTCTCCATCCACCGCCTCTCCAGCCTCCACCTCTCCATGAACCTCTCCTGGAGTCCTGCGAACTCATTCCTTTAAAAATACAGAACAAACCAATTAACATTTTGTTATTCTTGCACTTTATAACATTAGTTGCTGCTATTTTTACAAATACATAACTTCAGCTCAGTCATGTTTCTTCACTACTGTCACGACAGTAGTTTCTAGTTTTGGCAGCAAATGAACATGTTAAAACATTGCCTTTACTGCATTTGTTTTAAAATCATTTTAAAATATGTTACATTGAATCAGCTGTAGTTTTAGTTCCAACCACTGGAATATAAAAGATCTTTCCTGGCTAGTACGTTGGAACAAAATGGGAATCTGCATTTAATAAATGGGAAAAGAACACTGAAATTAATTTGCCACCTAGTTACTTCCTATTTGAAAACTAGACAGGACTTAGTTTGATTTTTGCCAAAACAAACGCTGTTAGCTACGTATAAAATATGTCAACCCTCTTACATTTTTTTAAATCAGATTTCTTTTAAATTAAATCCGTTTTCAGCAGACATACTAACACAATATTTACATTTTCTTTTTTAAATCTTTTAAAATGATTTATATTAGAACAGTCAAACATGTTTTCAGTGTTTGACACAGAAAGCTAGCTGAATTTTATATTTAGTTTTTAACGCAACTAGCACGGTTTTGTTCAAGTTCAGAGTAAAGTGTGTGTGTGTGTGGGGGGGGGGGTTATAATAACTGACATAAGCACGTACAAACCTTTCGTTTGCTTCCAAGTAAAATAATTAAAACAAACAAACAAAAACCGACCAGTGGTCAAAAATCGTTTACCGAAACGTTACGGACATAACTGTTAGCATCCTGTTAGCAGTCAAAATTCCCTCCGCTCGTGATGAAGTTCTTCTTCTTCACTTCCGGTACGACAAATCAGACTGTTTACCTTTTACTGCCCCCTACAGGAAACATCTCTCCAAGCAACCTCTCTGAGTTATCAGCCATCATTACAATGTTTTGGTGGAATTAAAAAATAATTAACCAAAACAACAACAACAACAAAATCTCAGTAAAGTTAAAAAATAATTAACCAAAAATGTAGGCTTTTAATATATTGTATATATAAATAGGTTTGTAGAATAGAATAGAATAGAATAGAAATGGCCTTTATTGTCCCACGGATGGGAAATTCCAGTGTATCAGCAGCAACAGCAGCAACAGATAAAAAGATTAAAAGATTTGAAGATTTCACACAAAAGTTCCTAAATGTTGGTAGATATAAGATAAACAATATCAATAATAATGTTCAATATGTATTGGAACATTGAGAATGGCAGACTATTTACAGTACAGTATTTGTATATAAATATTCAGGTCTCTTGTAAATGAGTCCTCGAGGCTCAATGGGATTAACCTGTCTAAATAAAGGTTGAATGAATGAAAATATGTATATACAATATATTATACTGCATAAAATCTAAATGACCCTCAAAGATTCTGGAAAACCATCAAATCTTTCTCAGGCAGCTCCCAATCATCTGACCTCCCATTACAACTTCTTGTTAATTCTGTTCCTGTGTCAAATAAGCACGAGATCCTGAACTGTTTCAACAAACATTTTGTCACTTCTAGTTCTTTATTTGACACAGTTACTAATGGAAAATCAGCCACTTCCTCTAAAAGTCAAACTTCTACAAACTATATCTTTCCTACAAGTCAGTCTTCAGTAAATCACACCTTTTCTCTTTCCCCATTTTCAGTTAGTGAGGTTAATAATTTTTTAAAAGGTCTAGACTCTAAAAAATCTGCAGGACCAGATGAACTTCCACCTTATTTCTTAAGGCTGGCCGCTCATATCATCACAGTCCCTGTGACCCACATCTTTAACCTGTCCATAAGCCAAAACTCCATCCCAGGCACTTGGAAAACAGCCTTTGTTCTTCCTTTGCTGAAGGGAGGTGACCCCACCTCACTGAGCAACTATCGACCAATCTCTAAACTCTATCAGTTTTTGTAGAACCTTGGCTAAAATGCAAACTCTCAAATCAAAAATTATTTGGACTCATTTAACATCTTACCTCCACATCAGTCTGGTTTCAGGAAACAACACAGCACAACTGCTTCACTGAAGGTTTATATTGATGTTGTTGAAGCACTGGATGCTAAGGATTATCGTGCTGCACTTTTCTTAGACCTGTCTAAAGCTTTTGACACTGTGGATCATAACATCTTGTGTCATAAACTCTCAGAAATTGATTTCTCAGATCAAACCGTTGGTTGGTTCACTAACTATCTGTCAAATAGGAGGTGATGTGTTCAACATAATGGTACTTCCTCCAGTTATTTAACAGTCAACAATAGTGTACCACAAGGCTCAGTCTTAGGACCCACCCTCTTTACAATCTACATAGGCAATGTAGGTCAGATCATCCCTGATGCATCCATACATTTCTATGCTGATGACACAGTTGTTTATTGTCGAGCTAAAACAGTTGCTAAGGCTTTCCAGCTTTTGCAATCTGCCTTTGACATCATCCAGTCTTGATTTGTTCTGTCTCAAACATATCTTAAATGCCGATAAAACCAAAGGGATACTTTTTTCAAACAGGAAGTAGGTCCCAGCAGTTCTTCTTCCGATTTTATCCTCAAATGATGTCCCCATTGAGTTTGTTGGTTCCTATAAATATCTGGGTATCTTGGTCGACTCGTATCTCTTCTTTAAGCTTCACATGGAAAACCTAGGAAACTGAAAGTTACACTGGGTTTCTTTTTCAGAAACAGATCCTGTCTAACTCTGAATGCCAGGAATGCCTTGCAACTGTCTTTCCTTCCTTCCATACAGTGACATTATTTACATGAACGCTCCTACAAGTACCCTGCAGATGTTGGATGCTGCCTATCATGGTGCACTAAGATTCATAACTGGCTGTAACTACTGTACCCATCATTGCACCCTGTATTCACTGGTTAACTGGACATCATTAACTTCACGCAGACTGTCTCACTAGTACATGAGATGAAGACATGTTCCTGTTTTTAGTTTTCTACACCGCCTTATAATATACAGTGCCTTGCGAAAGTATTCAGCTCCCTTGAACTTTTCAACCTTTTGCCACATTTCAGGCTTCAAACATAAAGATATAAAATTTTAATTTTTTGTGAAGAATCAACAACAAGTGGGACACAATCATGAAGTGGAATGGAGTTTATTGGATGTGTCAAACTTTATTAACAAATAAAAAAATGAAAAGTGGGGCGTGCAATATTATTGGGCCCCCTTGCAATAATACTTTGTAGCGCCACCTTTTGCTGCAATTCCAGCTGCAAGTCTCTTGGGGTTTGTCTCTATCAGTTTTGCACATGGAGAGAATGAAATTCTTGCCCATTCTTCTTTGCAAAACAGCTCGAGCTCAGTGAGGTTGGATGGAGAGCGTTTGTAAACAGCAGTCTTCAGCTCTTTCCACAGATTCTCGATTGGATTCAGGTCTGGACTTTGACTTGGCCATTTCAACACCTGGATACGTTTATTTGTGAACCATTCCATTGTAGATTTGGCTTTATGTTTTGGATCATTGTCTTGTTGGAAGATAAATCTCTGTCCCAGTCTCTGGTCTCTTGCAGACTCAAACAGGTTTTCTTCCAGAATGGTCCTGTATTTGGCCCCATCCATCTTCCCATCAATTCTGACCATCTTCCCTGTCTCTGCTGATGAAAAGCAGGCCCAAACCATGATGCTGCCACCACCATGTTTGACAGTGGGGATGGTGTGTTCAGGATGATGAGCTGTGTTGCTTTTACGCCAAACATATCGTTTTGCATTGTGGCCAAACAGTGCGATTTGGGTTTCATCTGACCAGAGCACCTTCTTCCACATGTTTGGTGTGTCTCCCAGGTGACTTGTGGCAAACTTTAAACAACACTTTTTATGGATATCTTTGAGAAATGGCTTTCTTCTTGCCACTCTTCCATAAAGGCCAGATTTGTGCAGTGTACGACTGATTGTTGTCCTATGGACAGACTCTCCCACCTCAGCTGTAGATCTCTGCAGTTCATCCAGAGTGATCATGGGCCTCTTGGCTGCATCTCTGATCAGTTTTCTCCTTGTTCGAGATGAAAGTTTAGAGGGATGCATGGGTCTTGGTAGATTTGCAGTGGTCTGATACTCCTTCCATTTCAATATAATTGCTTGGACAGTGCTCCTTGGGATGTTTAAAGCTTGGGAATTTTTTTTATATCCAAATCCGGCTTTAAACTTCTCCACAACAGTTTCTCGGACCTGCCTGGTGTGTTCCTTGGTCTTCATGATGGTCTCTGCGCTTTGAACAGAACACTGAGACTATCACAGAGCAGGTGCAAAAAAAAAAAAACTTTTTTTTTCTTAATTAATGAAAAAAAATTAATGAAAAAATAAAAATAAATGACATGTTCAGTATTGTCTCACATTTCTCCTGTTTAAGTGCATTTTTTTTAAACCAGTTAACTTAAAGGTGCCCTGATTACGTTTCGCTTATAAAGAAACAAAAATAGATATTGAGCTTACATAACCTGGCTATCAATGCTGTTTTTTTCTTCAGGTGAACAAGTGAACGTCCAAATTTGTTGTGTTTCCTGTGTATTTTAACTCACACTGGCACCTGTTGCATACAGCATGAGTTGTGCCTGTGGAGCCGTCCTTCTGTTGGAATCCAAAATAATTCCACAGTGTTGATTTAAATCCAGCAGTAGAGCAAATTTCATTATCTGTGTTTTCTGCGTTGTCTGCCATGTTGCTGAGGCGGCCGCAGAGCGCAGCCGTGCACGGAAATGGTGACACTAACGTGCCTTGGGAATTTCAAAATAAAAGCGTATTTTAAAGATGACGATATGAATTAATGTTTTAGTTTTGCCACAATATAATTGAATGATTAACCATTTAATTGATATATCAATTTAAATCCATGTATTGTTACATCCCTAATCACAAGCTCGTACAACAGCACCTTCAGCACATCGTTTACCAAATGGGTCATAGAAAAGATGGAGATAGACAAAATGGGAGAAAAGGCCACAGTCAAGGTGACTGTCAAGAAATCTGTGAAAAGAACACAAGGGGACCTAAATGAACTCTTCCATGACTATGTAAAGCGATTTAAAATGCATCACTTTAACATCAAGCAGCAATATGCCTTCTGCCTTGAGCTGAAGAAAAAGATGTCTGGGGAAGAGGCTTTGATACATGTTGATTTCTCAGAAAATTACAGCTGTAAATACAGTTCCCAAGTTCAGACAGTCCACTTTGGGGCTTCACATCAGCAAGCCACCCTGCATACAGGTGTGTTGTATGTTGGCGGACACCCAGAGCCTGCGTGTTTTTGCACAATCTCAGCCAGCAGACATAAGGCCCTCCGGCAATATGGCAACACCTAAATCTTGTTCTGGATTACCTTCAGGCACAACATCCACAAGTGTCTGTGCTGCACTGTTTAAGCGACAGGCCATGTACTCAGCACAAACAATGAGGCAACTTCTTCCTTTTCGCCACAGAACTGGACAGAAGAGGATTCAAGGCTGGTTCTTGGAATTTATTTGAGGCTAGTCGTTTTTTTTCCTCCCTGGCTCTGATCGAGGTGGCTGCTTCTGTCTTGTCTGCCTCGTTTATCCTTCCTCCTGATCTGCTTTCAGTGTGTCTGAAGTAGGGGTTGAGCGACTACATAATTTTAAAACTCGACATTAACATAATAAAACTCGAGTAGAACTCGAGTACTTGATGACATCATAGGATCTAAAGATACAAAAATAAATAAATAAATAAATAAAACTGCAAAAATGGTCGTTATTTACAAAAAAAGACGAAAACATTGGGAGCGTATATTATGCTCCTACCATTTATCATACTGCAAATAAGTCACAGGAAC